TCATCAAGCTGGAGGATAAGACCTCGGGTAAGGAGGGGAGAAGGGGAAGGAGGCAGCTCTGTGCCTCCCCACGGGGAGGAAGATGGCTCAATGCTGCACCCTGAGCTCGACCCGCTCCCCTTTCATGGCTGCCCCATCCCTGGCAGTGTTCAAGGTCAGGTTGGACACAGGGGCTTGGAGCAACCTGCTCTAGTGGAAGGGGTCCCTGCCCGTGGCAGAGGTTGGTACTGGAGGAGCTTTAAGGTCCTTTCCCACCCAAACCATTCCGGGATTCTATGGTTTTTCCAGGTGAACTTTTTGCCCAGGCACCAGTGGAGCAGTTCCCTGGCATCGCTGTGGAGAGTGTGACAGACTCCAGCAGATACTTCGTCATCCGGATCGAAGATGAGAATGGTACGTTGTGGTACCTGAGGCACATGCTGGGGGAGTCGCCTCAGAAAGTGTTCATTGCCCTCACTGCCCTCATCTGTGAAGGCGTCTGGCTTTTGAGGGCTAAATATTTCCGGCATCCAGTGGCAGAGAGAGGAGTTCTCCCACTCCCCTGCTTTGGCCGTGCTCTGGCCTCTACCAGGAATTGAAACCAACTTGATCTTGTTGCTTGGGGTTAGCATGAGGATGTAGGATGATGATCCCTGATGCCACCCTTTGCTTTCACTCATTTATAGGACTGTAAAAGCTGGGTTTACTCACCCTGGCTCAGCACCCTCCCAGGGAAGAACTTCTGCCTCAGAGCTCATCTCAGTCTCCCCTCTGGCAGGTTAAAGCCATTCCCCTTGTCCTGTCCCTCCATCCCTTGTCCAAAGCCCCTCTCCAGGTTTCCTGTAGCCCCTTTAGGCACTGGAGTTGCTCTAAGGTGTCCCCTTGAGGAGCCTTCTCTTCTCCTGTACATGCAACCAGCAAACTAAAGATATTCCCAGTCTCATGTCTCAGCCTTCATGGGCCCAGCTCTGGCTGGAGGAGGCATCAGGCACGATGGGATGTCCCATCCCTCTTCATCTGCTGCTTTGCAATTCAACCCTTCCTCTTGCTCCTTCCCAGGCCGCCGTGCTTTCATCGGAGTTGGCTTTGTCGACCGAGGGGATGCTTTTGACTTCAATGTGGCTCTCCAGGACCATTTTAAGTGAGTTGTGCCTCTCCCTGTGTCTTCTCAGCTCCATTTTTGTTGCAGATGTCCACCAGAAGTGGTGGAGAGGAAGCTGTGAGGCACGCTTGAGTGGGGCGAAGAGGTGGAAACGCCTGTTTCTCTGTGCAGGCAGCTCTCTCAGATATTTCCCACTCTGTGTTAGCAGGGTCCCAAACTGGGCTTCCCAGTCCAAAATCGAGCAAATTCCTTAATTCCTTTCCTTCTTTTCTTGTGCCATCTCTAAGGGGCTGCTCCTGCAGGACCGGATGCTGCTGCGTTGCTCCAGCAGGAAAGGTGTCAGCTCCCATCCAGCACCTCTGAGTCGCTGCTGCCGGGCAGAGGGGGGTGATGTTGGGCAGGATTGATACGGGAGAGCCTCAGGCTGGTTCCTGATGTCTCCTTTCCTGCTTCTCTGGTTGCTGCAGGTGGGTGAGGCAGCAGAGCGAGCTGGCCAGGCAGGCCGAGAACCCCGACCAGGGCCCCAGGCTGGATCTGGGCTTCAAGGAGGGACAAACCATCAAACTCAACATTGCGGTGAGGAGCATTTCCAGCTCAATCCCACCTTTCCCTTGGGTGGAACAAGAGGAAGCAGCAGCTTGTCCCCAAAATCCCTGGGCAGGAGAAAGCCTGGAGCAGAGCTCTTCATGATAACGCTGCAGGCAGGGATTTGGTTGTGTTACGGTTCCCAGTTCCAGAGCTGGGTCTGTGGGTTCATGGTGGGGATTTGGGGGTAAAACCACTCTTGGTTTGACCCCTTTTGTAGTGGGACATTGCTGCAGAGCAGGTTTTTTCCCCCAGGATAAAGGGATTTGGCTCTGTGGTGAGCAGAGGAATCACGCTCTGGCTCCAGATTTAAACCCGCTACCACCCAAATTCCGCTCTATTCTTTCAGAACATGAAGAAGAAAGAAGGAGCAACAGGGAACACCAGACCCCGGCCTGTGGCTCCTGGGGGGCTGAGCTTGCTCCCCCCACCTCCTGGAGGGAAACTTCCTTCTGGAGAGCACCCGTCTTCGCTCTCCAGTGCCACCCAGCTCCCAGGCACCCCCATCACAGGTCCGTGCTCACACAGCCGTGGCTGTAAAGCAATTTAGACTCTGTTTTATCCATCAAAATGGGGGAAACAGAGCAGGGAATCTGGGAGTAAGAGTGGGAAATAACCCTTGGTGTTTGTTTTCTCTCTTCCTGACTGCCCTGGCTGCCGACAGACTCCCTCTTGTCCTGGCCACAGCCGCCTGCTGCTCCGTCTGCCACCACCAGTGATGTGTGGGGAGATTTTGCCAAAGCTTCAGGGTGAGGCCCTGGGGGGTTTTGTTTCCTGCTTATTTCCCTGGATAAACCCCTGTGGGGTTTGTTTCCTGCTCATTTCCCTGGATAAACCCCTTGGTGGGGTTTGCTTCCTGCTCATTTCCCTGGATAAACTCCTTGGTGGGGGAATGGCTACACCCAAACACCCTTTTGGGCTTTAAAAGCAGCTCTGGCTGCTGCACATTCCCTGAGTGCAGCGCTGGGCTGTGGGTGCTGCCGTCTTCTTCCTCCCCATCTTCCTCTGGGAAGTTTGGGGTGATCCTGCAGGACTTTCCTTGTGTCCCACAGGACCTTTTGGCATCTATAACCTCTTTTTCCTCTCTCTCCAGGTCAGCTTCTACCCAGACGAACACAGGCTGGGTTCAGTTCTGATCCCATCCCCTTGGCTGCTTTTCCCCGCACGGGTGCTGGGATCATTGGGATTCCTTCAGGACCAAAGTAGCAGCTTCACGACAGTCCACTTCTTGCCTTAAATCCCGCCTGGCATCCAAATCCTGCAATAAATGCCAGGAAGCAAACACACACGTGCCTTAAAACACTCCATGCCGGTGCTCTCTGTCTTGGGGGGCTTTTTGACCTGGATCGCAGGAAACCTCCTGGGGCTTCTCCATTGGGAAGAAGAAGCCATCAGCTTCATCAGCTCCCCTTAATAACAAGAGGGGGAGCAAGTGCTCCCAGCGCTGCCCCCCTTGAGGTGGTTTTTACTAAAGGTTTATGTGCTAGAGCTGCTCCCTGTGTATTTGGGCTGGAAAAACCCTTCCCTCAGCGGGAGCATCCTCCTGGATTCATCTCAACCACACGATCCCGATGACTGCAACGCTGAGCGTCGCGCTGATCTTCTCTTGAGTGCTTACCTCCACAGTGCAGGAGGTGGGGAGCTGGACCGCTGCTTTTCCATGCTGGAATTCCTCGATTCTTGCTCTGGGAAGTTTGTTTTTCCTCCTGTATTTTGGGAAGACACGTTTTTACTTCTTCATTTTATGAAGCAGTGAAGGACAGGACGTTGTTGGTCTCTTTGACAGAGCTTGAGATTCCTCTTTACACAAATAAATATTTTCTTACCTACTCCTGTGATGGCTTTTTTGGTGTCCAAAATCCTGCTCCTGTTCTATTTTTCCTGGTGTTTTGGGTTTTTATGCCTTCCATTTCCATTTGGATGATGGATTCAGAGCCTCACTGCGCCTGGCAGCGAGGGTGCACACCCAGCTGAAGGATTAGTGCTTCCAAGTGAGTAGTAAGATGCTTTTGATTCCCAAGAGGAATGTTGTTCCCCCCTCGGAGGGGCTGGGATGTGGTTTTGTGGTTCCCCCTCCTTGCTGGTGTCGAGGAGACCGTGTTGGATGGCAAAGCACAACAGACACTCGTTGCTTAGCAGTGGCTTTATGGTTGGGAAAGGCTCCAGGAGAGGAAGGTAAGGAAAGAAATGGGGGGAAAAGGAGGCTTTTGGCATCCCCACACCTGGGGGAGCCTCGAGACGGGGACCTGAAATGCCATAAATCCCATCCCTTCACTGTGCCCCCCTCCCTGTTCATCTCCAATTCTCCGGATGCTTCCCCAAGCTTTTGGGGCAGCGATGAGCTGTGGGTCAGAGCTGGGATTTAGTTCAGGAGTTGGGATACTCCAGCCCATGGTGTTGGGGATTTACCCACAGCTTTTCCTGCCCGATGGGGGCACAAAGTCCTTCATTACCCCGGGGGTTGTGTGTGTGTGTAAATTTGCTGCCCCGAGGTGGCTGTGGAGGCTCCGGGGGG